ACGCTCAAGTTGCAGAAGACGTTGGATGGCACCGCGGATCTGATGAATGCCGTGAAGGAGCACGGAGAGGAAAGCGCGGCCTTCTACGAGATTTACCAGAAAACGCTGACCCATAACAGGATGGAGCCAGAGATCGTCATTCCTCTGCCTGACTTCGTCAACATGGGCATCTACAAGCATGAGTGCCTGGCGTGTCCGCCCGCGCAGTTCATGCAGGTGGCCCGCGCCGAGAGGTGCAAGGCCGCATTCGGCTTGGCTGCGTGGGAGAAAGCTCAGGCCAACATCTACTCGGATCGCGTCGTCCAGTGTTTGAAGCAGCCCAAGACTGACGAGCTTCTCAAACGGGTCTTCCCACATCCTTTGCCAGAGAACCTCGATGCGTTGGTGTCCGCCGGCCTCCAGACGCAGATTCGCCACATCACCACGATCATGTTCAACGGTGGCAGCGAGCCCAGGGAGGTGTTGTCGGCTGCGGACGCCACCAAGGACAAGAACTTCGTCCTCTCTTCAAGCTTGCAGATGTTTCCAGTGGGGCGGAACTTGGTGAAGTCAGCCCGCGCGGGGGCCGAGGCGCGCGAGGCGGAGCTGGACTGCGAGACAGCGTGCATGCCTGACGTGGAGGCCCTCCGGAAGTCCTTGGGCGCCGAGCCCTCGGAGGGCAGCTTTGCGGACATCCAGGCGGGCCTCCAGGACGCGGCCGGGGCCTCTTCAAGCATCCTAGCCACAGAGCCATTCGCCTTGGGCATTCTGAGGGGGGGAAGACTCGCGAGACTGACATGTGACATGTCACATGTCAGTCTCGCGAGGAGGCCCTCGACGGCCCTCGGTTGTCGGTGCGACCTGGGGCCCAGGTTCGCCCCTTCGGGCCCCCCCGCGATCTGTGTGTTCCTGATCCTGGATTCGATTCGGGATTCGGGATTCGGACTCGGGAGTTCGGATTGGGCCGTGGTGCGATGCTTGGGCGGGTCGCGCGGACGCCTCCCAGAATCTCTCGGACAAGTTGATGGGCCACCGCGTGCCGCAGAGCTTGAAGGCCCCCGCGTCGCAGGTCATCGTTGAGGCCACCAAGGTTGCCGCCGCGATGTGGGAGGCCTTGATCATCGACGTCTTGAATGGCACCGAGACGTTTGACGTGAAGTTCGGCTCTGGCGTGGGCATGTCGGCGCTTGCCATTCTCACGAGCATCGGTGACCTGCGAGGGCCCCTCAGAAGGTTGTTGGAGATCGCCGCCTGCCCCGAGTCGGATATTCCTTCTCACATCTTGAGCGCATGCAATCTCATCGAGGAGTTCAGCTCCGCCCAGAATTTCGACAAGAGCAAGTACCCCCGCGAGCGCGTCATGTCCTTGAAGAGTGCAATCGCGACCATGTCCGCGAGCGATCGCTTTTCAGCCGAAGTGAGAGATGGTGTCAAAGAGTGGCTGGAGCAGAACGGCCCTGAGGATAACAAGCTGATGAAGTTCGTCACGGAGGAGATGGGCAAGGTCACGGAGGGCAAATTCCAACCTCTCATCGACTACGTCAAGACGATTCTCGCCACTCCGGGCGGGGAGCAGAAGAATGTGCAAGCTGAAGTTCTTGAGGGTGCCATGGACATCGTCAAAATTGCGATCGACAGCGGCGACGTGATGCTGAAGCGAGAGGTGTTTTTCATGACGGCCTTGGCGAAGGCGCACGTTCCCCTGAAGGCCTTGAAGAGCTCGGTGGCGTCCGCGACCGAGGGGGGCAAGCGCGTCCAGATCGAGGCCGGCTTCTGCAAGACGCTGGAAAGCGCCCTCAACTGCTTCAAGGACTTCAACGACCGAGCCGCCGCAGACTCCGATCAGCTGGGCGAGTTCTTCAAACTACGAGGCGATGGGCATCATCCGTGCCCCAGCTTGGTGGACATATGCGACGCAAGGTCTGTGACCGATGACTTGAGGAAGATTGGCGAAGAGTCGATCAATATCGTGAGCGAGTCCTGGACCAAGAGTTTGACCGAGGACCGCGATGCGCTCCTCAACGGCACGCCGCAGGAGTACCAGATGAAGAAGAACGAGGTCATGAGCGACGCCGAGCTGTTGAAGAAGATGGTCTCCAATGATGAGTTCCAGAATGTTGCCAAGCTCAGCTCCAAGGCGCAGGTCGAATTGAACCTCATCAAGAATGTCCAGGCCGGCCCCATCAAGCTTGTCGGCCCCGAGCTGTTCAAGTCTGCCGGCGACGCCTGCGCCGTGAGCGCTGGGTACGTGACCACGACCTACGCCGTGTTCCGCATGTCATCAGAGCTGGCCCCGATGGCGAATAGCAAGGGTCGCAGGGTGGCGGCGCAGCGTCTGAAAGACGAGCTCTCCAAGAAGAAGCAGTGGGTCAACCTCAGCGCCGACGTTGCGGCGGCCTTGGACAGGATGATCACGGGGACGATGGAGGACGCCGAGGCCGACTCCATCAAGGCCATCGTCCCCGAGGAGGGCGACGCAGAGGAGGGCGACGCCGACGGCGCCGCAGATGCTGCTGCGTGAGCTGGGCTGCTAGCCTGCTCAGCTGAGCGGGCGTGAGGGGTTCAATCCGCGGTCTGAGCGATCAAGCCGACGATCGTTGATGGGCCCATTGATGGGCCATGGGAGGCAAGGGGGGCCATTTCGAGGAGATTGCGTGACCTCGGACCTCGGATTGATCCCCTTCATTGTTGGCCCGACCGCAGACGGTCTCCAGGGCGTGGGGCTGTCCAGCCCAAGCCCTGGTGACCCCGACCCCCCCTGGCTCTGCCAGCCCCGAAGCGGCGGCGAGCAGATGGGGGAGGGGGCGGAGGAGGAGGAGGAGGACTAAGAGGAGGAGGACGAGGATGATGAGGAGGAGGAGGAGATAGGGGAAGTGGCGGAGCGAGAATCGAAGGATAGGGAAGGGGCAAGCGACTTAGGAGCGATGGGGGACTTGGAAGGAGGAGGAGGAAAAGTAGGAGGAGGAGGAAGAGGAGGAGGAGGAGGAGGAGGAGGAGGAGGAGGAGGAGGAGGAACCAACGCAACTGTGCTGCGGCTGGCTGCAGAGAACGGCGGCGGGCGAGCCCGCGGAGCGAGCCTGGGGAGGGCGCGCCACAGAGTTGAGGAAAACAAATACAACAAGACAAAATGGCCCCAAGAGGGGTCGGAGGATGGTCGCAAAGGAAACTGGAGGCGGGTGGTGGTGGATTGGGGGAGAGCGGGGGTGGAAGCGTGCGCGGAGGCAAAGTGAGGGAGATGAGCAAAAACGTTCCCTATAACACATAAAACCGAAAGCTGTGATCGTTTATTTTGTGCGAGAACTATATTAGAATTAAAAGAATGTATGGGCTAATTAAAGAACATGTATATACATATTATGGAACTTCGCCTTTTTGTAGGGTGTCCGCAACGGTGCCAATCATCATGGCTGGCGATTTCAACGTGGGGCCGTCTATGGTGATCGAAAATGAGTTCCTCTCCAGAGCCAGGGTCCAGACCACCGTTCCAGATAAGCCCACCTTGTACGCCCAGACGAGCCAATCTACCATTGATTTCTTTTTGGTGTCGTGCTTTGTTCGAGCATTTCCTGCAGCAGTCCATTACCTTAGTGGACCACCCGGGTAGCCCTCAAAGGCCAGTCGTGATGGACATGGTGGTTAGGGCCCCGTATCTCATCTCGGTCCTGGAACCGCCTGAACATCTACCCGTTGTGGCACCGTATGGGCCCAGCAGCCGTCTTCCAGTCTGGGGCAGGTGGAAGATCTTCTGGACCAACATGAGCACCACCTACAGCAAGGTGGCTCATGAGCCGATTGTCCGATTGTGAATGCAGGCTTCGTCAGCGCAGTGGACCAAGCATATGGATATCTTGTGGACGACATGTCCACCTCGCCCAGTAATTTAACCGGCGCGCCGCTGCGCAGTCGGCGCCACCGCGCATAGGTACCTTCTGTCCGCTGGGTACCAGCATCCGCTCTCGAGGCCAAGGTTAGGAGGAGTTGGAGGAATGCGGCAGCAGCGCTCACATGGTTGAGGAAGATTGCTCGTGATATCAGGAGGGGAGCTGAGGAGAAGTCTTTGGGCGAATTGTGCCAGGCCCAGCAGGACCTAGCGCAGCCGCCAGCTTCGCTCGAGCAGGTCGCTGAGTTCTCAGTCCTCCTCAACAGTGCGCAAGCGCGTGCGAACTGCCATCCTGGGCGCCTCCAGGAGCCAGCCCGACTGTAAGCTGATCAGCGCCGTGTTCGACGTTTTAGACAATGAAATTGCGGTGGCTCTGGGCCGTGAGACCCCCCGGGGCCGCCTGGATGACAAACCTGCCTGGGAATCTGGGGTCAAAGAAGTTATTGGCAAAGGGGTTGGGTGGGCCCACAGGCGGCCCAATCGACTTGCCACGTGGCAGCCTCACCGAGTTTTTGGGCACAAGTTTTCCAGGTGGTCTGGTCGGCCAGTGGGTCTGTTAGAAGCCGAATAGCGACGCCTCTCGAACCTGTGGCAGGCAGCACCACAGGGGCATGATTTTCTTAAAGCCGATGCGAGGAGCCTCGACCTCCAACCGATATCAGCAGAGCAGCTTCGCCAATCCAGTCGCCGTTTCAGCGCGACCGCAGCTTGGACTTGGGACGGGACCCACCCCGGGCATGTCAGCCTCTTGGAGGACTGTCAGTTTGATGCCGTTTGCAGGCTCGTCAGGGCAATCGAGAGGATCGGCTGGTTCCCGACCCCGCTCAGAGCCATCGTGACCGTCCTCATTGAAAAGCACAAAACTGGTCCCACCCCTGGTCCAAGGTATCGTGGTATAGGTATGATGCCTGGGCTCTGGAGAGTCTGGGGCAAGCGTCGTCGCGTTGAGTTTCGAGCTTGGGAGCGCAATCGCCACAGAAAGTATCTTGCACGCCAGTCAGACAAAGGAGTTCTTGAGGTGGTTTCCGAGCAGGCCATGTATGCCGACGGGGATCTTCCTGGAGCACAAGAAGGTTTTCTCTGGGGCAGTTCTTTGGGACCTTTCTAATGATTGCGAATGCGTGGATAGGGGTCCTTGGAAAGCCAGAGCCAAGGGAACGATTTTCTCGGACCCTCCAGTAGGCATTATCAGTAATCAGCACCGAGCTCCCCGCCTCGTGGCCAGTCGTGCCCTCAGCGAGGTATCGCCGCAGGTCGTTGGGCAGCTACGCGCGTTGTGCAGCGGCGTTGTCTCCCGCCAGTCGACATTTGACTTGTCGGCGGCCCCGGCGTGCAGCCGATGACTTTCATGGATGATTTCCTGTTCAGCCACAACAGCCAGGAGTGCCTTATCAGAGAGTCTATGCCTCAGCTAGCGTGCATCGAGCGGTCGCTCGCGATCTGAAGTGTGCAACCGCCACAAGGTTGCTGTTGTGGCCTCATTGCCTGCCACGCAGGCTGATTGAGTCTGGCGCCTTTGGCAGTGGGCTGGACCAGCAGCTGCCGACGGTAGCCGCGAACCCTTTGCAGCCAACCAAGGTGTAGACTTCGCTGCATGAGCCAGATTGAGGGGCAGGGCCAGGAGGGCATTCGAAGGGCGAGCCATCAAGCATAAGTCTCGGCCCCGCAGGCTTCGCGCCGTTCGCGTGGCAGGTGCTGATGCTAGGAAGCCTTGGAACGCAGGACTTCAACAAGCTGGGTATTTTGGTCGGAGGTCTTGGGGTCAGCTGAAATGGAGCTCCAGGATGCCCGCGATCTGCTCCTGAAGATTGCTGGGCCAAAGTGTGCTACCCGTTCGCGCGGCACTTCATTGGCTCTCTTGGAAGAACCCGCGTCGTTGTGGCTCTTTCTGTGGAGACGAACAGGGGCGCGCGCCGAACTCCCGGCAGCCGTTGCTGCCGACAGTTGGCAAAAACAACGCCGCCGACAGGGCCGCCGAGAGAGCCGTCGAACGGGCCGCCGGAATTGCCGCCGAAGGGGCCGCCGAAAAAGCAGTCGAAGGGGCCGCCTGAATTGCCGCCGGGATTGCCGCCGAATTTGCCGCCGAAATCGCCGCCGAAATTGCGGCCAAAATCGCAGCCGAAATTGCGGCCGAAATTTTCGCAGAAATCCCAGATTGCCGCCGAAAAAGGCCGAACTTGACCTTGGCTGTGACTCTATGCTTGCGTCCGCGGCGTCATCGCGCCTAATGGAACAGTGATGTCGCTTGCGACGGGGCGCTGAAAATTTCGGCGGCCGAATTTCGGCGGCGATTTCGGCGGCTGAATTTCGGCGGCTATGTCGGCGCAGTCTGCAATTATTTAGGTCATTTCGGCGGCAATTTAGGCGGCGAGTTCGGCGGCAAGTTCGGCGGCTAGTTCGTCGGCAATTTCGGCGGCGATTTCGGCGGCAATTTCGGCGGCAATTTTGGCGGCGATGTCGGCGACGATTTCGACGGCCCTTGCGGCGCCCCTCCTGGCGGCCCTTCCAACGACCATTTCGGCGGCGATTTCGGCGGCTGAATTTCGGCGGCTATGTTGACGGAGTCCGCAATTATTTAAGTAATTTCGGCGGCAATTTCGGCGGCGAGTTCGGCGGCAAGTTCGGCGGCTAGTTCGTCGGCAATTTCGGCGGCGAGTTCGGCGGCAATTTCGGCGGCGATGTCGGCGACGATTTCGACGGCTTTTTGCGGCGCCCTCCTGGCGGCCCTTTCAACGACCATGTCGGCGGTTTTGCTCCTGACAGCTGTCGACGGATGCTGCTGGGAGGTCGCAGCACTCGGCCGTGGCATGGAGTCGATGTGCGGCGACGCAGGCTGACCTGCCCTCAGCCCGACGAGAATTGTAACAGTTCTCTTGTGGTTTTGGCGGTGATGATGGCGACGGCCGCGGTGATCTCTGGTTCCAAATGGATGCTCGCCAGGGGGCGTTGCAGGCTGGCCTGCGAGCCCACCGCCGCATGCTGTCAACGAGTTTTAATTAGCTGCGCAACCCCATCGGAACTCGTCGGCTATTTTGGGGGCCACGGTGGCTCCACAGGGTGGTCCTCGGCGACCCCGGCAGTGTTATCGGGCCCCCGCCTGTTGGGGGGGGAAGGGTGGGAGGCCCTTGGAGCTACTTGCCTCGGCTTGCAGAGAATCGGATGGACCTGGCCCCACCCTCTCGCCTGCGCCAGCCACGCGGGGGAACGGTTTCCGCTGCCAAGCGCTTCGCCAGCCGTTTAGGAGAGTTCCTGGCTGCAGCTCGGCAGGAGGACCTCGCAGGTGTGGCAGCGCGCAGGATGACGCCCCACGCCCAGCAGGCAGTCGGCAGGAGGGGCCTGCCCAGCAGCGAGCGCAGCATCCCCTTCGCCTCCTTCGCCCAGTACATCTGGGCCTTCAGCCGCTTCGGCGAGGCGGGCTACGAGACCCCCGCCCAGCGCGTCCGCGGCGCCCCGAGAGATGAACTCAGGCACGGGCTTCTGGGATGTAGCGCGACAGCCCCGCTTCGAGACGAGTGCTTGGATCCCGCGGACCTGGGCGCTCTGAGACGCCCTGGGACCATTGCAGAATGCGCGGCTTTTCCAGAGCCTCCCCCTATCGAGGTCCCTGGGCCCCCTGGCCTCGGTCTCGATTCCTCTGTGTC